GGCACAGATTAGTATATCTTTCTGTCTTGCACAATGTATTTTCAAAATATTTTAAGATTATGTTTGTTTGCTCCAGGGGGAGATTTTCTTTATGTAAAATTATTTAACCACCTTTTTCTTACTTTATCTTTCTACGCTTTGCCTACTTTTCTGTAAAAAATAAAGAATGGGGAAGGGAGGAAGGCGCTGAGGGCTAAATCATATAGTGTTTCTGATAAATTTTGCCTTCAATAGACAGAGCCCTTGGGCTTCTTCTCTGCTTTCTCCTCCTAAGGAAGAAAAATCAGTATAACAAAGATGTTTTATTCTTTCTCCTTTATGATGCTATAGAGTATAGTCCTGGGATTATTTTAATGTTATGATGATATGATATATGATATAATGTATGATGAACTGCTGTGTATAAGTGGATTTTAAGTTTTAGATCATCCCTGCTCACTGCTACCCATGCTAACTCAGGTTTGATGTGGTGACCTTGATCCTGGTCTCTGACTTAGCGTCCGAGGTGCCTGCCCTCCCAGCTTCTCACTCAGCCTTGCCCATGTGCCTCCTTTCAGGTGTCCATTGTGACAGCGTGTGTGCTGAGGGGCGCTGGGGCCCCAACTGCTCCCTTCCCTGCTACTGTAAAAACGGGGCTTCCTGCTCCCCTGATGACGGCATCTGTGAGTGTGCGCCAGGGTTCCGAGGTACCACTTGTCAGAGAAGTAAGTATCTTGTTAGCCGGCACTTCCCATCTTCCCTTCTCAGATCACCGTGTACAAAATTATCATCTCTCAGTTCATAGAGATGATCTGTTGCAGTTGAGGGCAGAGAGGAGTGATATAGGTCACTCTGTCCTTTATAGAGCTGTCCTTGCTCCATAGCCCTGCCCCAAAGGCTTCATTTTCTCCATCCTTCAGGACTAACCTAACAGATGGGGCTCTAGCTATTTCTTCTCAGTAATGATTTCATTGCCTCATTGGCACCATTGTCAGTTTCTTGATCCTGCCTTAAACCTTGCAAATGGTGTTCCAGAAATCCATTGACCTGTAACTATTTTATTCAGCCATTTTGGCATTGGCCTTACCTCAATTACCAGAAGTCAACATCAGCCAAACCTAGCGGCAAATTACACATCCTGCTAGTAGTCTGAAAGCCAGTGCTCTGGGGAAAATAGGATTGCAGAGTTAAAAATGGGGACTGATGACATGGGTCAATAGAATTTTTTTTTTTTTTTGCAAGAGTAAATTTTTTTTTTCAATAGAATTTTTGAGTTAGAGAGTATGAATCCATAAGATTTCCCTAAGTCTTTTAGTAAATGTAATATAAAAATGAATATGTGACTAATTATAAGATACATTATTCTATTTTTTAATTATTAGTTTTTTACTAAGAGTTCTATGCTGTCTTCTATACTTAAATCCAAATAATGTCTTGTGAAGAATCTAATTATGAAGCATTTTGCTTTTTCACTTTTCAATCACAATCAACCTGAACCATTTTGAGGAGAGACAATCTTTTAATTCTGACTGTAGATCTATTTATTGCCAGTAATGACTCTTAAAGAATAAAGGATTAACATGTGAGTATTTATTTGGGCCTTGTTAGTATTTAGAATTTTCTTTCTCTCATTTATTTGCTCAACAAAAATACTTCAGGCCCCTACTCTATGCCAAGCTTCAGGCTAATTGGGGCCATAAATGGGAAAATAAAGAGAACTAAGACATTTGCTTGTCCTCAAGCAATTCAGAGCTTGCTAGCTTCTTTTCATTATTAAAAACTGCCCTTATTCCTTTTGTCGTTGATTGATACTTGAAAAATTCTCAGTATCACTAAAAATAATTTTTTTGTATCCCAAACTTGAACCAGATCCTGATGTGGAATAGGAGAGAAACATGTCTCAGGGAAGATGACTATTTCCTTTCTGTTTTCAGTCTGCTCACCCGGTTTTTATGGGCATCGCTGCAGCCAGACGTGCCCGCAGTGTGTGCACAGCAGTGGGCCCTGCCACCACATCACAGGCCTGTGTGACTGCTTGCCTGGCTTCACAGGCGCCCTCTGCAATGAAGGTAGGGTGCGCAGACTTTGGCAGAAATACGTGGTGGTGAGCACACCCCACGCAATCTGTCCTCAGGTTTCCCAAAGGACACATTTGCAGCTAGCGGCGGCTCCTGGTATGCTGTGTGTGCAGCTTTTGTAAATATGGCTTTGAGCTTTGGGAGAGCTGGCTTGCCAGTCCAGCACAATCTCTTTATTCTCTGAGCCTTGCTACTCTTCAGTTTTAATTGGAAACAGCCTTCCATGAAAAATCAACATGAGGAAGGATTTTGATTCCCTGAGCGAGAAGCCAATGGAGATTTCTAAAAGTGTGGTGATGTCTCCTGATTTGTGATGCCTTAATGGGGGTCTTTGGCTTCAGATGTTTGCAACAATGAACCCATTTAGGATGAGGGATGCTCTTGAGTAGAAGCACCTTACCAGAGGGACAGCTGGGGTTGATGACCTTTAAAGTCGTTTCCTATCCTAAGAGTCTAGGCTTTTGTGAGAAGAGATGTAATTATGAGTTTCTGACCTATAATTTATTCACAGTGTGTCCCAGTGGCAGATTTGGGAAAAACTGTGCAGGAATTTGTACCTGTACCAACAATGGAACCTGTAACCCCATTGACAGATCTTGTCAGTGTTACCCAGGGTGGATCGGCAGTGACTGCTCTCAACGTAAGTCTTGTTTGCAAACAGTTGGTCAGCCATGTATTTCCATTTGTTTTCAATTTCTTTAGGATCAAAATATGAGTATTTAAATAATCAAGAAGTAATATATGAATAGGTAGAAGATTTTTTTTTTAATTTTTAAGTAGCTTTTCCCCCCTCATTAGAGTTCTATGCAATGATCCTATATTTAAGTCTAACTCATGCCTTGGAAAGAACCTAAATAGGTAGCACTTTGCTTATTCACTAAAATGATTTGCCTTTGCAAAATGAGGGTCTCGTACTCATAGGCCATTCAAAGATTCATTCCAGACTTCAAGTGTCAGCTATTGTTTGCCCTTTGCTCTTGGGCAAAAATGGTACAAACAATTATGGAAGAAATTTTTTTCTTTTTTAAAATTAATTCACATTTATTTATTATCTTTTGGGGGCCATGTTCCCTACTGGATAACCATATAGAAATTGTAAGCATTCCTTCTTTTAAGTATTATGTTCTTGAAGCATTGGTATGACTATAAAGCAAATCATTTTACCCCATAATCTTAACATTACTTTATCTGAGGTTCTCATTGCTCTTTGATAGGCAATGACCCCTAATAATTTAGTTTGATTATGTTCTGTTTCTTCCAATTAAGAGTTTTTATAGTAAATGTGTTCTCACATGCAAATAGGAACCTTCATGTTTAAAACAAGCCTCTAGGGACAGCTCTAGAGTGGAGTGACAAGTGCAGGTTTAGAGATCACAGACAAGAATTAAGTGACCTTGAGTACTTCTCTCAAGTCAAACCATTTCGCCCATCTAATCTCTACTCTAATGTCCTCCCCTCAGAGATACCCCCCATAAAGGAATAGCTCCCATCATTCTTGTCCCCATTCCCCTATTTTATTTTTTCTTATAGTCCTTACTGCCCTATGTTTTTGGCTGACTGGCTGGGTGACTAGCTGGCTGGGTGGCTGGCCAATTGGTTTGCCTGCCTCTCCTACAAAAATATAAGCTTTCAGAGGGTGCTGTGGACCTTGCCTTGTTCTCTGCCATCTCCCCTGGACCTCGCACAGTGCTGGGCATATCTAGGTTTGTTACATAACCAACTCTGTAAACGTGGGATGACGTTTGCTCTGCCCACCTCGGTCTGCAGCATGTGAATGAATATCGTATCATAGTGATGGCCAGTGTGGCCGTCAGCATCGCCACCTGGGTTTGAGCCTGCGTGGAGCACGGTCGTCCTCTGTCCTGCTGCTCGCTGCTGACCCGTCCACTGGGGGAGCCGTGTCGGGAGGGCGGGAGCCTCTCGGTGGGGTGCTGGCCGGGGGACCCGCACTGAACTCTCCACGCCGTGCTGTGCTTTCAGCTTGCCCCCCCGCGCACTGGGGCCCGAACTGCATCCACACATGCAACTGCCACAACGGGGCCTTCTGCAGCGCCTACGACGGGGAATGCAAGTGCACTCCAGGCTGGACCGGGCTCTACTGCACGCAGAGTAAGCGGCGCGCCTTCCGAGGCTCCCCGGGCGGCGGGGCGGGGGCGCTCCTGGGGACGTGGCCCTCCCTGCACGTGGATGAGCGGGGCTCCCCGGGCTGCCTGGCGTTGGAGGGTTTCTTCGCCCAGTGACCTCTAGACGTCTGAATTCCTCGGGGTGGTTGAGAGCTGCCACGTTCCAGGCTTGCTGTCCCTGGGTCACATCAGGACGCAGAGGCGGAACAGTGCTGGAAGTGTGCAGTGTCTTTCTCTTCTCTCCTTTCACCAGGCCCGATTTATATGGCTCAGTTGTTCTAGTAGCACAAAGGTTAAGATAAGTGACACTGATTAGAAACGAAGTGAAGACAGCAAGCCTCACTGCCTGACCTAATGTGTGCTCTGGGAGAAGACCGATTCGGAGGGTCTAGAATTTTAGTGAGCTTCAGAGTCACCCTGCTGACTGGACAAGCATGACTGCTGGCCCTGCTCCCAGAGTGTCTGATTCAGTTGGTCTGGGTGGCACCTGAGAATTCACATTGCTAACACCCTTCCAGGGGGTGATATCAGTCAGGGATCATGCGTCAAGAACCACTCATTCTTTCTTCCATTTTATATCCCATAATGTCCTCACCATCTCTTCTTCTATGACACTTAGCATTATAGGGTATAATGTACAAAGGAATTCACAGCTCAGCGCTGTGGGGAAAAAAAAAAAAAGACTTATCTCTGCCCTTTTGTCTGCAATGGAATAAAGGAGGCAAGACAAGAAAGCATGCATTATGGTGATCATTGATAATAATAAATAATTTCAAATCACTAAAATGAGCTGAGGAAGAAAACTGGGTCAGAGTTAAGCAATTCTTATTTAATACTAATTAGAGAACACAAGAGAATACGTTGAACATGTCTTTGGGAAGTTTCTAGATGGTGATGTAGACCTTGAGCTGTGATTTGAAAGGAAGCATTGGCAAGGAGGGAGGGTGTCTCAAGCATATTCTGCCACGACAGTACATATAGAAAGTTTTTCAACTCTTCAGGGAAAAGTACTTAAAACTTATTGTGTGTAATTCTAAAATTGGGGCCTGCTTCAATCAGAGGGCCTTTTAAAGTAAAAGCACAATTCAGTGGGAGGCACATGGGGTCTGGATCTTGACTCTGGCCATCCTGCCATTTGCTGGCTGTGTCACATGGCCACAATTCCCTTCTATGGTGGGAGAATATCCTGGTGTTTCTGGGCAACTGTAGAGATTTCACGAGAAGATGTAGGAAAAGAATCTGGCATAGGGTAGGTGCTAAATAGATATGTAGCAATGATGTCACTTGCTGGCATCCTTACTCTGCCTCTGTTTCTTGAAACATGAACTTTCATTAAAACCACTATAAGAAAAAGCACATGTGATGCATGGAAACAGCCTGCATTGAAGCTTTCATGATGGTGGAGAGCCCTGCGCTCTCCTGCAGGGCCACTCTGGTCCAGGAGAGCCAGCAGGGCTTGTGCATGTCCTCAGTCCAGTGGTTTGTGTCTTGAAATTGTGCAGCAGTAAGAAGGCTCATTGCTTTTTTTTTTTTTTTTAACAATGCACCTATGAAGTACAGTTGTTGTTGTTGTTTTTTTAAGTTCAGAATTCTACTACACATCTTTGCAGAAGAAGATGCTATTATCTAAATTAGTAACAGATAACAGAAGACAGGCCTAGTAGCAGACTTGGAGACATTCTGTATTGTAAGTAGAAGCATGTAGGCAATTTTGGCATAAAGTGCTCAGTTCAGTTCATGGAATTTGAGTCCAAGATTCTAACAGTTGAGTGGAAAAAACAAAAAAACAACTAAAAGAAATGTTCAAGTGACTCAAAGACTTAGAGAACGAACTTACGGTTGCTGACAGGAAGGGATAGTTAGGGAGTTCAGGATGGACATGTACACACTGTTTTATTTAAAATGGATAACCAACAAGGACCTACTGTATAGCACATGGAAATCTGCCCAAGGTTATGTGGCAGCCTGGATGGGAGGGAAGTTTGAGGGAGAGTGGATACATAGATGTGTATGACTGGGTCCCTTTGCGGTTCACCTGAAACTCTCACAACACTGGTAATTGGCTATACCCCAATACAAAGTAAATGGTTTTTAAAAAAAAAAAAAGAAGAAGAAGAAGACAGCAGCCTGCCTCCTGGGATACACGTGATGGTTAAACTGCCCCAGGTATGGAACTGTTCTGCCTTCTGCTCAGGAAGCTTCCTCCAAAGAGCTCCAACTTGGGACTTCACAAAAGCTGTTGTAAGAAGCTTTGATTGCATTACTGTCTTTATTCTCTCTCTCCTGGCTCAGCATCCTTCAGATTCAGACACGTTGGAGGCAGAGCTGAGTGTCTCCTCGATGGCCTCTTGACTCTGCTGTCCCTTCTCGCGCAGGATGTCCCCTGGGCTTCTACGGAAAGGACTGCGCGTTGGTGTGCGAGTGTCAGAACGGAGCCGACTGCGACCACATCTCCGGGCAGTGTACCTGCCGCACGGGCTTCATGGGGAAGCGCTGCGAGCAGAGTGAGTGTGAGCGCGCAGCATCCCTGGGTGCTGCTGTTTCCCGAGAGCCAGCGTTCCTACGCAGCTGGCGATGTGAAGGCAGGACCCACAGCTCGGAGGGTGTTTGAGCTGCTGGTTGGGCACTTCCCAGCACAGTTGACTTCCCCTCCAGGAGACCCGGCCGCCTCGGGGTTCTTGCTGGCTGCCTTTGTCCTCAGAGTTCTTCTGAGGAACTGATCAGCGATCTGGGTGGAGGGGGTGTGGCTACGAGGATGGAGACAGTATTCAAGTTTTCCGTCTGTTCATCCTGGCTCTCGCTTCCTCCCCTTCTTATTTTTGGAACGTGGCTGCTCAGAGCTTTAAAAGAGCCATTTAAGTTTTCTTCGTGGCAGAGGCAGAACCTGATCTCATGATGGAGGAATGTGCATTCAGGGGGGCTGGGCGCCCAGGTGTGTGTGTGAGTTATTCAATCCTGTCCTGCTTTTTGTGACCCCATGGATGTAGCCAACCAGGCTCCTCTGTCCGTGGAATTCTGCAGGTAAGAATATCAGAGTGGGTTGCCATGCCCTCCTCCAGGGGATCTTCCTGACCCAGGGATCGAGCCTGGGTCTTCTGCATTAGCAGGTGGATTCTTTACCATCTGAGGCACCAAAGGGGCCCACCGGAACCCAAGAGGAGTGTGCATTCACAGAGGCTGGGAACCCAGAGCCAGATCCACTATAGGGGTGGGCATGAGTCTGTGCAAACATGGCCACGCTTTTGACAACCTTCCCTTGATAGTGTTTTTATACTGTTTCCACTAGCTACGCCTTATCTTAATCTTAACAGCCTTCCAGACAATGTATTGCCGTCATTTTTTTGTTCTTGTTGTAAAAAATCCCACTCAGGGAGAGTGTGCTCTGTAGGAATTCCCCATCCTTATGTTCCCATTTCTATCCCACCAGCTATGCAGCTGCTTCCAGGACTGTAAGAACATTAGCCTTAGACTAGTGTTTCAGAGGAGTTTATTATTCCTTTCTCTGTGACTTTCATTCAGAGTTCACATTGAATAAATCAGATCTTAGAGCTTCTGAGGCTCACTCTCTTATCATAAATGACAGGAAAGGTGCAGGACACTTCCTGCTTGCAGAGGGTGTGCTCTTGAGAAAGACGTACGAACAATTACATGGCTGTAGGGGCATTGTTGCCTGGAAAGGTCGGCAGGGCTTTGGCAATAAAGCATCATGCTCCCTCCATCAGTCTCCCTCCCCAGATCCTCATATCACCACTGGACAGCCAGGTGGTCTCAGTCTTATTTGCTAAACTCTAGAATCGTGGTCGTACAAAGTTGCTGTAGTGGTGTCTGACTCTTTGCAACCCTATGGGCTATAACCTGCCAGGCTCCTCTGCCCATGGGATTCTCAAGGCAAGAATACTGGAGTGGATTGCCGTTTCCTTCTCCAGGGGATCTTCCTGACCCAGGGATCAAGCATGCATCTCTGTCTCTGGCAAGCAGGTTCTTTACTATGGGCACCACCTAGGAAGCCCAAACCCTGAACTCTAGGATATATTTGCATATCCTTGCATCTGGTAAATACCAAGAGTGATAGTCAGGAATCAGCCTGGACAAAGACGGCCCCATTTTAGTTTTGCACTGCTAGTTCATTTAACCATGAAACAGGTACTTAGTCACACAGTTGCCTCCACACCACTATGTATATGCAATATAATTAAGTGTGTACATGTCTAAACATGTGTAGGTAAGTAAGTGAAAGTCGCTCAGTTGTGTCCAACTCTTTGGGACCTCTTGGAATTCTCTAGGCCAGAATACTGGAGTGGGTAGCCTTTCCCTTCTCCAGGGGATCTTCCCAAGCCAGGGATCGAACCCAGGTCTCCCACATTGCAGGCAGATTCTTTACCAGCTGAGCCACAAGGGAAGCCCAAGAATACTGGAGTCGGTAGCCTATCCCTTCTCCAGGAGATCTTCCCGACCCAGGAATCGAACTGGGATCTCCTGCATTGCAGGTAGATTCTTTACCAACTGAGCTATCAGGGAAGCCATAAGTCGGAAGCCATAAACAAGCATACACATGTATATATACCTGGAAACCAGAATAGGCTCTAAACTGACTTTCACTTAAATGCTAGACTATTTATAGTCTTATTAAATAAGCACATCTTAAAGTACTTCCATGATTACTCTGAACATCAAATTAAAACGTCCCGGTTTTTGGAGACATCTCCTAATGCTCGTATGTAAACAGAAACCCTGTGTATGACAGAGAACTCTGATAATAATTGTGCATCGCCCCCTGCTGCTCCTTTTACAAAAAGCATCTGTATTTTGTCACGATTTTTACCTTTAACATGCCTAGTCTATTCTTTGAAATTCATGCCTAACTCTTACCCAACTATATCATAAAAATCCCATTATTTTAGTGTCTCAGACTTCAACCTGCAAATCCAAATTTTGAGGCTTTCTATGGTAAATGAGCGCTTCCTGGTGGCTCAGACGGTAAAGAATCTGCCTGTAGTGTGGGAGACCTCAGTGGAATCCCTAGGTTGGAAAGATTCCCCCAGAGGAGGGTTTGGCCACCCTCTCCAGTGTTCTTGCCTGGAGAACCCCCATGTTCAGAGGAGCCCATGGAGTACCAAACAGTCGGACACGACTGAGCGACCAAGCACATACATGGTAAATGAAGTTCTTACCTAGAAAATGAACAAACTTGCCTCCTCCCTCTTTCCCTGTTCCCAACTAATCCAAGGCAGAATATGCCTTCAGGCAGATCTTAAAGCTTACAGTAAAATATACGTCTTCCCAAGGAAGCATCTCCAGTTTATATTTTTCGGTGTAGTCCCCTTTTATCCCATAGTTTTGCCTGGTGGCGTCATCTCAGTTTGCCGTTAATGATGATCTTCATCAGTCCTATTGGGGTTCCTCAGACTCTCTATAAACCTCCATCAAGGAGGAGGGTATGTAGACTCTGGAAGAGCCAAGAGCTGTGATGAGAGTCTCAGTCTCCAGTCCACTGCTGCCTGGCCTCTAGAGTCCCAGCGTGACTCAGGGAATGCCAGCCAGCTGTAGACCCCCTGGATGGTTCGGGTCTCCCTGGACAGGGATCCCCTGCAAGGGCTGACCTCCAGGCTCACCAGATCATACAGTGAGACCCTTACCCCAGGTTCCCAAGGCTGGAGAGCTACATTGGACTCTCATCTCCTTCTCAGAGTGCCCTGCAGGAACGTATGGCTATGGCTGTCGCCAGATATGTGACTGTCTGAACAACTCTACCTGTGACCACATCACCGGGACCTGTTACTGCAGCCCAGGATGGAAGGGGGCACGATGTGATCAAGGTAAGGATGCTGGTCAAGGATGATTACTCGGGTGAGGACACTGCAGCTCAAAGAAGTTGAGTTATTTGCCCGAGATTACCTATGTTAATATCTATAGTAGCATATATTAGGATTTCCAAAGCTCATGACTTATCCACTGTGCCTTCAATTTTTTCAGCTTTATTGTTTTTTGGCCAGCTCAATACAACACATATGTAAAAAACAAAGAATGCCACTTGATAAAATCTGACATATCTATACATCCATGAAATGATCACCACAATAAAAATAATGAATATATCGTCACCTCCCAAAATTTCCTCATGCTGCTCCCTACCACCACTATCCTCTAGGTCTCAGGTGATAAGTGATCTACTTTCTGTCACTAGAGATTAGTTTGCATTTCTTAGAATTTCATATACATGGAGCCATTCTCTACTCTTTTTCAAAGGCAGAATATGCCTTCAGGCAGATCTTAAAGCTTACAGTAAAATATACGTCTTCCCAAGGAAGCATCTCCAGTTTATATTTTTCGGTGTAGTCCCCTTTTATCCCATAGTTTTGCCTGGTGGCGTCATCTCAGTTTGCCGTTAATGATGATCTTCATCAGTCCTATTGGGGTTCCTCAGACTCTCTATAAACCTCCATCAAGGAGGAGGGTATGTAGACTCTGGAAGAGCCAAGAGCTGTGATGAGAGTCTCAGTCTCCAGTCCACTGCTGCCTGGCCTCTAGAGTCCCAGCGTGACTCAGGGAATGCCAGCCAGCTGTAGACCCCCTGGATGGTTCGGGTCTCCCTGGACAGGGATCCCCTGCAAGGGCTGACCTCCAGGCTCACCAGATCATACAGTGAGACCCTTACCCCAGGTTTCCAAGGCTGGAGAGCTACATTGGACTCTCATCTCCTTCTCAGAGTGCCCTGCAGGAACGTATGGCTATGGCTGTCGCCAGATATGTGACTGTCTGAACAACTCTACCTGTGACCACATCACCGGGACCTGTTACTGCAGCCCAGGATGGAAGGGGGCACGATGTGATCAAGGTAAGGATGCTGGTCAAGGATGATTACTCGGGTGAGGACACTGCAGCTCAAACAAGTTGAGTTATTTGCCCGAGATTACCTATGTTAATATCTATAGTAGAATATATTAGGATTTCCAAAGCTCATGACTTTTCCACTGTGCCTTCAATTTTTTCAGCTTTATTGCTTTTTGGCCAGCTCAATACAACACATATGTAAAAAACAAAGAATACCACTTGATAAAATCTGACATATCTATACATCCATGAAACGATCACCACAATAAAAATAATGAATATATCGTCACCCCCCAAAATTTCCTCATGCTGCTCCCTACCACCACTATCCTCTACGTCTCAGGTGATAAGTGATCTACTTTCTGTCACTAGAGATTAGTTTGCATTTCTTAGAATTTCATATACATGGAGCCATTCTCTACTCTTTTTCATCTGATGTTATTTACTCAGCATAGTTATTTTAAGATTGGACCATGTTGTTGCATATCTCAATACTTAAGTTCTTTCTGCTGCTGAATAATATTCTATTGTGTGGTTATACCATAATTTTTTTACCCAACTGTTCACCTGTTAATGGACATTTGGACTGCTTCCAGTTTGGGCTACTGCAGATAAAACTACTGTGAACAATAGTGTTTAACGTATTTGTGGCATCATAGGGTTTCTTTTCTCTTGGGCTGGTTCTTAAGAGTAGAAGGATTGGGTTGTATGGTGGTTGCATGTTTAGCTTTTTAAGAAACTTGTGCCCGTGGTTCTTAACTAGGATGTGTGGCACAGTCTTCTGGACATACAATAACCATTATCAGTCCTACTTGGGCAGTTCTGATTCTGGGATAGATGGCGCCCTTGAGAAAGATGGTTCTGAAGCATGAGAGCTCCTCGTGCATGTGGTCTTAAACATGTGGGCGATAAAGGCTTTAAAAAATTCATATAGAAATATCATAAAATTCATGTAAGTGGAGTTATCTTAAACTGTAAACTATGTGGGTATTTGTATTTAACTTTCTTTCATAAAATCACTCTGACATGTTCATGATTTGTACTTGGCCATCATAAAAGTCTGACATTATATTCCACAGTCACATCATTGTTACAATGTGTTGTGCATTGTGATCACACTACATTGACCTTGGTGCTCTGCCTCTCAAGCCAGGTTGTCTTATAAGAAGTTCCAGCATTTAGAATCATATGGTCATAGGGACACTTGAGCTTGAAAAACTTTCATGGAGGCCAGTTTCCTCTTTTACAGATGATGAAACTGCAGCCTAGGAGCTTAAGGGAAAGTTCAGAATGTATGATTCAGTTTTTTTTTAGGTGCCAGGTTTCTTGACTCTCAGCTCATATCACTTGTGTCTTCACTTGATGGAACTTGAGGGAGAACTATGTAAAGCGAAATTTTGAGTTTTAATAAGTAAGGTTTTAGGTGAGGTGATGTTACCGGGTATTGGGACAGACCTTTCTGTCATAAAAAATTCTGCATAGAATATATTTTCTAATGTAAAAGGGCTATTGAAATTAGGACCAGACAGATCCTGATCTTGGACTAGATTTATAATGGACTTATTCTTAATTGGAAGGAAAATTACTTTCCTCTTAGAAATGCTAAGGAGAGACATAATATTAAGTTAGGGACTTGAGTTAGCCGTTCATAAGCTTAATGCTGGATAATAAATAAAAAACAATAAAAATTAGATAAATTGTTATCCCCAACTAATTTCTGGTCTAAGCATTTAATCAGAAATCTGGGAGATGCTCCCAAACCCTACTGTTGAATCTTTGGGTTCTCTCTCTTTTTTTTTTTTTTGAGCCTTAGAGAATCCTTCTTCTGGACACGGACAAACCAACAACATTCGAAAATGAGGAATGTTTGTTTTTCCTTCCTGCTCTGTTTTCGAAAGTTTCCAAATGAAAATTTCATGTACTGAAAATATCCAGGCTTCATTAGCACTGTGGGAGATTTTTGTAAATAGAGATCAAATACCTGTCTGGCACATTGTCATCCTTGCTCACATCTCTTTTCTTCCTTTTCTAGCTGGTGTTATCATAGTGGGGAATCTGAACAGCCTAAGCAGGACCAGCACGGCTCTCCCCGCTGATTCCTACCAGATCGGGGCCATTGCGGGCATCATCATTCTTGTCCTAGTTGTTCTGTTCCTCCTGGCGTTGTTCATTATTTATAGACACAAGCAGAAGGGGAAGGAATCGAGCATGCCAGCAGTTACCTACACCCCCGCCATGAGGGTCATGAATGCAGACTATGCCATTTCAGGTGAGACTGAACTCGCTATAGGCATTTCACTCCATGAAAAGCGAGGCTTCATCCTGGTTCTTTGAAACCGATCATTTGGCTGTGCTGCCAAACGTGTTGGTACTGTCAATTAGCCTTGAGCAGCTTTTATGTTTGGAGAAGATGCATTATTAGGGATGTGTTTTATGTGTCAACAATGGTAAAATCATCACTGTTTTCTCCTATGAGAGATTTAAAATTGGGTTCATTATATGGTTGCTTTAAATGTTGGGCATGTCCACCTAGAAGGAGCTTTGTTGGACACCTGATCCCCAGCTGTTGTCATATGTGGGGGCCAGGGAGGGGAGAGGACGAGATGGCCATAACTTCACCAAGGTCATGGAGCATATCAGAGAAAGAACCAGGTCTTCTGTCTTTGGCCTTGGGTTCTTCCCAGGTACCCTCCAGCCTGTCCTGAAGTCCATGTACATCATTAGCCACATGGCAACCAAGTTACATAAACAGTTTGGGGGGATTAGCAAGAACCAAGGCTGCTCTTTAATTAAACCCCTGAATCTTCCTTTTTGTCACAAGACCCCATAAAAGTAAATTTTTAAGTGATGCATTCACTCTTCAGAAGATTTGTATAAGTGAAGAATTTGGAAACTTAAGGTATTTATTAATTTGGGGGCAATCAGTGAAGGGTTTCAGGTTTATAAATAAAGTGATTCTGGGGGAATCCATAAAGTAGCTGATTTACTTAGTGGTGCATTTCTAGTGCAGAGTATTGTCTGGACTTCCCTGGTGGTCCAGTGGCTAAGACTCCATGCTCCCAATGCAGGGGTCCTGACTTCAATCCCAAATCAGAGAACTAGATCCTACATGCCACAACTAAAACCCGGCACAGTTATTAGATAGATGGATGGATGGATGGATGGATAGGTAGGTAGGTAGACTGATTGACTGATAAGTAGATAGAGAAATAGAAAGAAAGAATATTGTGTCAAGAGCTCAAGTGTTTAAACACAGAGGAGAAAGTTATAGTGGAAGGAGCTTCAAAGCAATGCCTTCCCAGCTTGTACAAGCCCCAGAGCTGAGAGCAGTTGTTGGTGGATGCTTTCAGACTTTTCCAGGAGGAGGTTGGAAGGGCAGGCGCCTGCCACTTCCACAGGCTTTGCTGAACATGCCAGGCAGGAGGGGATTCTGCCCGCTTGTGATCTGGAATCTGTCCAAACATTTGTTCTTGTTGCTTCGCTCCCCTCTTTCCCACAACGTTTAAGGAGCCTGCCATCTTAACCGTTTCCTTCTTTGTTGTCAGAAACCCTTCCTCACGGCAGCGGTGGAAATGCTAACAGCCATTACTTCACCAATCCCAGTTACCACACGCTCACGCAGTGTGCCGCATCCCCTCACGTCAACAACAGGGACAGGATCACCAAGGTGAGAGGAGATGGTCCAGGTCGCTGAGGCGGGCGGGGAAGAGCAAGGAACAGGCGTGCCTGAGGGCTGCGGTTGGCCAGCTGCCATTCCACATACGTACATCAATTATCTCATTTATTCCTCCAAACAATCCCGTGGGTGTGTATTAGGATCTCAAGTTTACTGACAAAAAAGCCCTAAGTAATGGGGAACTTAAGTCACTTCCAAACATAGCTTGTGACTGAGGCTGCAGCGAGGTGAGTCAGTCTCTCTGTCTCTGCAACTTGTACAGTTTCCGTTGCACTTTTTTGGAAAATGTTTCTAATATGGCGTGTGGTTTTAAAATAATGTCTCATAGCAGACCTGTAGCAGACTCTGGCCTGGGTAAAACTGGCAGATTTGTCTTTTGTGATCACCTTCTGGTGCCTTTTCCTGACCACCTGTACTTGGGTGATGACAACAATAATAATATGCATTTATTTATTTTGATTGAACCATATGAAATTGCAGTTTTGTGGGTAAAAAGTTACAAAAAAAAACAACCTAGTACTATATGCCAGGCATTTCTAATCATTTTACAAATATAAATTTGTTTAATCTTTATACCAATCCTATGACTTGAGTGATTACCCCATTTTACAGAGACCCAGAGAGGTTGGAAGCCCAGGGCTGTCTAGAAGCTGGAGCGGCTCCTCTGGACGCTTCCAGCTCACCATCAGGCCTCTTCCAGAGTGCTCTGAAATCCCAAACATTTCTCCCTTCCAACTGTGCTCGAGTTATATTTTCGATCTCTGTTGTCTAATTCCAGCTCTCTATTAGAAGAAAACCAAGCTAGTTAAATTATTCAGTTTCAATTAAATTAATGCAGCTAGATTTTAATTATATTACCTCATAGTTAAATAGGGCTTCCCTGGTGGCTCAGAGGATAAAGCATCTGCCTGCAAGGCAGGAGACCTGGTTCGATCCCTGGGTTGGGTAGATCCCCTGGAGAAGGAAATGGCAACCCACTCCAGTATTCTTGCCTGGAGAATCCCATACAGAGGAGCCTGGCGGGCTACAGTCCACGGGGTTGCAAAGAGTTGGACACGACTGTGCAACTTCACTTTCACTTTCATAGTTAAATAGCACTTCATACTCTCCAGAGACTTTGGTGTGTATCATACCATTTGTTCTCATTCCCATTCAGGGAGGGAGCAAAGTTGCTCATCTTATCTTCATGCTTATAGCTAAGAAAACTGCTAAGAATGACTCATACATGATTTTACAGTGTTTGATGGGAAGGCTCAGAAATTGGTTTTTTTTTCAGTTCAGAGTTCTATGCATGTAAATCCAAGTGAGGCCTAATTGGCACAGAGCAACAACTTAAAACAAAGAAGTAAGGTGATGGAGGGAATGGTTGGCACTGAGTGGCACCTGCTCCTGCTGCCTGTAAGCCCCACCAGCTCAGAAGCGGTCACCTCTGTCTGCTGGTGCACCCTCATGTGAGGACCAGCCCTTGATACGCTCCATGGACTTGCTTTCCCTAGATGGGTAATGCTGCACTGTGCCATATTGTATTTTCTTTTTTAAATCTTTTTGTTGTTTGTATTTTTAACAGTCAAAAAATAATCAGCTGTTTGTGAATCTGAAAAATGTGAATCCTGGGAAGAGAGGCCCTGTGGTAGATTACACGGGCACGCTGCCTGCGGACTGGAAACACGGCGGCTACCTCAACGAGCTCGGCAAGTCCCCCCCCCAACCTCCACCAGCATCGTTATCTTGTAGTCACTTCAAACACTCAGAGATTCATGACAGCACCAAAGCAGCTACTGAAAATATGTGCAGAAAAAGAAAGACATAGCATCACACCTAGTCCCTGTGTGGGGCTTTTACTGTCCTAAGTGCTTTATTTATTCAACATTTATTGAGTTCTTACTGTGAACCAGGAATCAATAAAAAGACAAGGGTCACTGCCTGCGTGTAGCTTACACTCCACCTCTCCATGTATCAACTCAATTCTCACAAGTACTGCTGTAGGTACCATTATCATCATCATCATCTCCCTGCTACAGTTGTGACGCTGAGTCATAACAAGGTTAAGTAAGTTGTGCAAGTCCTCAACGCCTATTATATGGTAGAGCTGGGATTTGAACCCTGTCAGCTTGGTTCCAGCATGTATGCTTCTCCATGCTCTCTGCTACACAGGTTCGATCCCTGGGTTGGGAAGATCCCCTGGAGGAGAGCATGGCAACCCACTCCAGTATTCTTGCTGGAAAATCCCATGGACAGAGGAGCCTGCTGGGCTACAGTCCGTAGGGTCGCAAAGAGTGAGGCACAACTGAAGCGACTTAGCACGCATACACAAGCTGACGTACCCTTACTTGAGGCCCTTTCCTCTTTTAGGTGAGAAAATGGAGATATCAGGAGGAATATAGTGAGTCAGAGGTCCTCAAACATCTGGGAATCAGAACCCTTTAATATAGTACCCATGGCTGATTCATGTTGATGCATGGCAAAAACCATCACAATGTTGTAAAGTAATTAGCCTCCAATTAAAATAAATAAGTTAAGTTTTTAAAGTAATCAAGGATCCCCAAGAGTCCCTACTAACATGGGTTATATTTATTGATATTTGCCATAGTAGAAATAAAATCTGAGGGCTATTTACTAATTTATTGATTATAACAACAGTCTCATTTACTGATAATATAAAATACATTTTTGTGAAAAATGACTACTTTTTCCAAAATGAAACAACAAAAAAATTACTGAGAAGAATGGCCACTGTTTAACGCTTTTATAACATCTGGCTTAATAGAGGTCAGCTGAATTTTCATATCTGCTCTGCGTCCAATGAAGAGTGATCTCACACTTGGTGTGACTCCTGGAAAGCTCCACCGTCCTCCTGAGAGAGGATGAGAGTGGAAAGGACAAGCAGTGTTGTATGAGGACAAGAATTATTTTAACCTCAGGGCCCTCCTGCAGAGGGCCTGGGCTGACTCCACTGAAATAACTGCTGTGACTCACCATTGAGCGTGTGGTATATTCTTATTCTCAGGGAGGAGCTCCATATAGTAACTAACATGGGTGCAGTGTCTTATGGGCACTTTCCTGTGTATTGAAAGCAAACCCTTTCATATGTATTTATTTAATGATAATGTTGGAAGGAAGTCCCATTAATTTGGAATTTCAGATAAGAAACAAATAATTTTTGGAAAATTATATCCCAAGTATCACACAAGGCACACTTATTAAAAAAATTATTTGTTGTTTCTCTAAAATTCAAATTTAACTGAACTTGCTGTGTTTTTGTTTGTTAAATCTGGCACACACTGCTCCCCCCTGCCCCCCGCTGTGTGGGCCCTTCCACAAATCTTGTTTTATAAAGGAAGAAACAGGTTAACTCTTGTCTAAGATTTTGTGGAAGGAAGATGGTAAAACTGGGTTTCATAGTTGGTCTTCTGCCCACTCCCTCTCTGATCCCTCTGTGAACACCTTAGATGTCAATTCATATAAGCCACTTTCAGGAACCATGTGTGGGCTCTGGAATCCCCTGTAATTGTGGAAATAGAAAATAAGTTCAAATTCTTAGCTTTTATCTGAATTCTTCACTAACATTATCAATAGGATGTGTACTTCTATACACTTACAGCAAAATTATTTATATACCAGATTTACATTATACTTATTGGTGAAATCATTTAAGTTTAGGGAAGTTAATAATCTAGCTCAAAGAAGTACATGAATTGATATTAGTAAAATACCACCCAGCAATAATGAGGGAAAAGTTCTCTCATTCCATCTCCACTTAATGGAGTTTGTCCTGATTCCAGAATACACAGTCACTGTAATGGTCACATATAAATTTCTCTGCTTTCTGTCTCAGTGAGACCCAAGGGACTGATTATTAGGAACATAAAATCTTCATTGGAAATTCTGGATCTCCTTGGTTTGTTCCCATCCAAAAGTAATTCTGCATTTAATATCCCTGTGAAGTTCTGGCATAGAAAAAGTCTTCTCTTACAAAGAACAGAATATGGCTCATTATGGATAATGAAGTGTGTAGTGTTTTAAATGATGGAAAAGTTGTGATGCTGTCTGAAAGAGCCCAGAATTTGACGCAAAGGCCCTGAAATCATTCCTAGTTCTGTGGTATGACACTTGCCGTCACCCTCTCAAGACTGATTTGTTCATCTGTAAAATAGAGATCCAGTCCCATCACTTCATGGCAAATGGAAGGGGAGAAAATGGAAACAGTGACAGATTTGATTATCTTGGGCTCCTAAAACACTGCAAATTGTCTCTGTAGTCATGAACTTAAATGACCCTTGCTCCTTATAAGAAAAGCTATGGCAAACCTAGACAGAGTATTAAAAAGCAGAGACATTCCTTTACTGCTCAAGGTCTGTATAGTTAAAGCTACGGTTATTCCAGCAGTCATGTACAAATGTGAGAGTTGGACCAAAAAGAAGGCTGAGTGCTGAAGAACTGATGCTTTTGAATTGTGGTCCTGGAGAAGACTCTAGAGATTCCTTTGGGCTACAAGGAGATCCAACCAGTTAATCTCAAAGGAAGTCATTCCTGAATATTCATTGGAAGGACTGTTGCTGAAGCTAAAGCTCTAATACTTTGGCCACCTGATGCAAAGAGCTGACTCACTGGAAAAGACCCTGATATTGGGAAAGATTGAAGGCAGGAGAAGGGGGCAGCAGAGAATAAAATGATTGGATAGCTTCACCGACTCAATGGACATGAATTTAAGCAAACTCCAGGAGATGTTGGAGGACAGAGTAGGCTGGCGTGCTGCACTCCATGGAGTTGCAAAGAGTCAGACACAACTGAACAGCAAAAACACAAAAAAATAGAGATAAGGATCATGTTCTGGCTTATTTTATGAAGTAGATTAATTCGAGCATTTGCAAACACCTGTTCAGAGACTGAGACAGATGGGTGTTTATGAGAAAGCCCACTTGCTCCCTTGTTAAAACTGCGCCCTGATCAACCAGGGCAGAGGAGAGGGAATCTGCCAAGCATGGCTAATCTCATAGCCCCACTCTTATTCCCTAAGTTGTTATCCACCCCATGTTGCTTTCATCCCTTGGGGAAGGCTAGACCTTGCACAGCTAAGATCAAGATGGACATTTAAAAAGACTTTGTCACAGCTAGGAGGTGGCCAAGAGAATTAGGCGAAGGGTAGTATAGACTTCCTTGATTAGGCTGCTCTCAGGCCACAGCCGCCACTGGAGTGGCATCTTCATGGAGTCACTTTAATAAGTCCAGGAATCCCTAAGAGCAGCCTCACTTCTGATACCAACTACAAATTTGGACGGTCAAGACTGCCCGTGGGATCTATAATTTACTATAAAGACAGAACTCAGTAAAAGCTGTTACACTCATGGTTACAGTTTATCACAGCAGAAGGATACAGATTAAAATCACACAGGGGGCTGAGTCCAGAAAAGTTCACAGTGTGAGACTTCCAGCTGTCCTTTTCCAGTGGAATCATAGAAAGTGCTAACTTTTCCTAGCAACAGTGTGTGACAGTGCACAGTGTCACCAACCAGGGAAGCTCACTTCAGCGTCGGTGTCTAGGATTTGGTCACAGAGACATGGTTGACTGTCCATCTGGTTGACTTTAGTCTTCAGTCCATCTGGAGGGTGAGCTGATACCAAGTAGCTCAACCCCCTCATATAAATCACTTTGTTAGACTGTCCAGGCCTCCAGGTAAAAGAAACACTCATATTGGGCAGGACATTCCAAGGACTTAGAGATCACCTCTCAGGAACCAAGGGCAAAGGCCAGATCTCTTTATCGTAAGGTGAATCCTTCACTATGCATCCTTTTATCCTGTCTTCCTGGAAAACTGAATGCCTTTCCCACCATCTGGGAGCCTGCCTGGCTAGACTTCACATACCAGGCTCAAGAGAGTGTACCTGAGAGAGGAAACATCCCTGTTTCCTGTCCTCTAACAATTGATAGTAGACACATACTCTCTCTTCAGGGAGCCTCCCTCTTTCTCCACAAATGTGTATCCCCAGGGAATATCACCCTCTGAACTTGAGTTTAATATCACTCTAAGAAAATTATGCACAGACATGCCACGCAGGGAAATAATTTCCTTACCCTTCTCATAGTTAATTTGATATTCATCACAAGTTACCACTTTACTTTCTTGTTTTTAACCTAAATCCATGACAGTCTATTAAAGAATAATTGTAGATACCCTGGAATGCTTACAGATAGACTGCAGCTGAGGGTGTTGTGACACATGAAGTATCACAGTAATTGATTGGTGCAGCCACTATGGAAAGCAGTATGGAAGTTCCTTAAAAAACTAAAAGTAGAACTACCATATGGTCTAACAGGGCTTCCCCAGTGGCTCAGTGGTAAAGAATCTGCCTGCCAATGCAGGAGATGTGGGTTAAACCCCTTGGTTGGGAAGAATGCCCTGGAGAAGGACATGGCAACCCACTCCAGTATTCTTACCTGTGAAATCCCATGGTCAGAGGAGTCTGATGGGATACAGTCCGTGGAGTCACAAAGAGTCAGACATGGCTGAAGCAACTGTGCACATATGCATGCACACATGATCTAAAAATCCCATTCTTGGACATACATCCAGATAAAACTATAATTCAAAAAGATACATGCACCCCATGTTCATAGTGGCACTATTCAAATAGCCAAGACATGGAAGAGACTTAAATGTCCATCAACAGATGAATGGATAAAGATGTGGTATGCATGTGTATATATTACATATGGAATACCACCATTAAAAGAATGAAATAATGCATTTTCAGCAACATGGGTGGAACTAGAGATTATCATACTATGTGAAGTAAATCAATCAGGTAAAGACAAATACCATATGATGTCACTTAGATGTGGAATCTGTAAAAATGATACACATGAACTTATTTACAAAACAGAAATATACCCACAGACATAGAAAACAAATTTATGGTTACTAAAGGGGGAAGAGGGTGGGGTGGGGAATAAATTAGGAGTCTGGGATTAGCAGATATAAACTACTATATATAGACTACAAAGCCCTACTCTATAGGGAAAGTGCAAGTGTTAGTCATGCAGTCATGTCTGATTCTTTGTGACCCCAAGGACTGTAGCCTATCAGGCTCCTCTGTCCATGGAATTCTCCAGGCAAGAATACTGGAGTAGATAGATATATCCATTCCCTTCTCCAGGAGATCTTCCCAACCCAGGGATAGAACCTGGGTCATCTGCATTGCAGGCAGATTCTTGAGGAAACTATATTCAATATCTTATAATAACCCATAATGAAAAGAATATATGTATAACTGAATCACTTTGCTCTACCACAAAAACTGACACATTGTAAATCAGGTACTTTTTAAAAAAGTATTACAGTAACTGAAATACCCTTCATCTATATGACACCTCTGGAGAAGGCAATGGCAACCCACTCCAGTACTCTTGCCTGGGAAATCCCATGGATGGAGGAGCCTGGTAGGCTGCAGTCCATGGGGTCGCTAAGAGTCGGACACGACTGAGCGACTTCACTTTCACTTTTCACTTTCATGCACTGGAAGAGGAAATGGCAACCCACTCCAGTGTTCTCGCCTGGAGAATCCCAGGGATGGGGGAACCTTGTGGGGTGCCGTCTATGGGGTCGCCCAGAGTCAGACACAACTACGTGACTTAGCAGCAGCATATGACACCTCAGTGTTTACAGTGCCTTTCCATATGGTCTATTTCACTTTATGTTCACAACAACCCTGTGAGGCTTAGAAGGTGAGTTGTTGTTTTCCCTGTTTTAGAGATAAGCAAATTGAGGCTCAGCAAGTTGAACGTCTTGTGTAAAGTCATGCAGCTAACAAGTGATGAAGTCCCAGTCTGTTGTCTCAAGTCTGCCTAGCTGTGTCCTTTCCACTGAGCAACCTTGAATCAAGTCAACTTTCTTGGTTCATTGGTACCTCAGTGTCTGCCCTGTATTGACCAGCCTTTCCCAAAGTCACTGAAAGAGGCAGGAGAATGCTCAGGATAATACATAACATTTTGTTCACTCTGAAGTACTGACACATCTGGCCCAAGTGATCCAGTGTCAAGGTTTGGAAAACAGCAGTGTTGGTTATTTCCTGCAGTGGGGAGACTGTGGGTGCCCAAACCATCATACTCCAGTGACCTGAGAATATTAGATGGGTTTTCTCTTCCTTTCTTTTTTTTTTTTCCTCTTCCTTTCAGTTCTCACTGGATGTTTTTTTTCCTTCCTTTGTCACAGGCGCTTTTGGACTCAACAGAAGTTATATGGGAAAATCCTTGAAAGGTATTGCCTGAATTTGTGGAAGAAATGCATTTATCAGAATCACAATTTAAAATATTTTTTAATCTCAGAAATAATTTGTTAAACCAGCAAAATTGGCCCTGTAGAGAAAAGGTAGCATTGTTACTGTGGTACGTGCATGCTAAGTTGTTTCAGTCGTGTCTGACTCTTTGTGACCCCATGGACGATAGCCTGCCAGGCTCCTCTGTCCATGATATGCTCCAGGAAAGAGTACTGGAGTGGGTTACCATTCCCTTCTCCAGGGAATCTTCCTGACCCAGGGATCAAACCTGCGTCTCTTATGTCTTCTGCATTGGTAGGTGAATTCTTTACCACTAGTGCCACCTGGGAAGGCAGTTAGTGTGGTAAATTACTCCAGCAAACACACAGCCAGGTTTGACTGCCAACACGAGTGTGAACGTAGGTGGATCTTGTTAGAACAGAAGTTTTAGGGAACCAAGATCTCAGTTTGCTGGGAAACACGCATAATTCCCCTCAAAGCAATATGGCTTATGGAGAGAGAGAAATGTGAAGAAGGAAGTAGCAGAGAAAAAAGGAAGAGGTCAGCCTGGTTACATGTTCACTGAAGCCAGCCTTTTGAGAGGAATTTGAATTATAATTTCATATGCCCAGACCTGAGGTTTTACAAGGAAGCCTTACAACACAGGTGCCTTCCTCACCATCAAAATAGAACCTCCTTGTGCTCCAGGAGCCAGCAACATATGAGGGCTTGATCGAAGCCTTTGAGGATCCAGAGACTATTAGTATAATAGAGTGGAGTTAATTTTATTTGAGTGTGATAATAAAAGGGGCTTTCCTGGTGACTCAGCTGGTAAAGAATCCACCTGCAATGTAGGAGACTTGGGTTCGATCCTTGGGTTGGGAAGATCCCCTGGAGAAGGGAACGGTTACCCACTCCAGTATTCTGGCCTGGAGAATTCCATGGAGTGTATAGTCCATGGGGTCGCAAAGAGTCGGAAAATGAAATCAAATCCATGATGTTTACACTGATCCTCATCTTAGAGAGGAGCCATGATCACTTTGTGGATGGGTAATTTTATAGAAGATTTTCTCCAAAATAAGTGGAGAACGAATAGTATTCTTTTCGTTGTTAGAAATGATAGAAAACTAGATACAAAGAAAAAGAAGTAATCTGCCCAAGTCAGTTAATCGCCAAGAAAATAAATGTTGTTGCCCATGAAATAGCATTTGCTTTTCACCCCTCTGTCTCTCTTCACAGACCTGGGAAAGCATTCTGAATATAATTCAAGTAACTGCTCCCTAAGCAGTTCTGAAAACCCATACGCCACTATTAAAGACCCACCTGTCCTTATTCCCAAACACTCAGAGTGTGGTTATGTGGAGATGAAGTCACCAGCACGGAGAGATTCCCCATATGCAGAGATCAATAACTCAGCCTCTGCCAACAAGAATGTCTATGAAGTTGGTAAGTTTTCCCAACCAAAGAAAGAATCTAGTGAATGAGAATATTCTTTTGAAACAATGTTAAAGTCCTTGAGAATATAGTAGTTGCAGTTCATATACATTTTATTGTAAATAATGATTTGTATTTTAAATTCAGCCTGTGTTTATGGTGATCATATTAGTTGGTGTCAAATGAACTTTCCAGGAAAAATACTATTTCGAAAAGTCAAAAGTAGGTTTTTTTCTTACTTCCCTGGTTATCCATCTTTTGTTTTGTAACCATAGTGAATATTTTAGCACGCATGTGGAACAGCATATGTATCATATTAGCTAATATGTTGAGTTAGCCAAAACAAATGGTTCAAGTGGATTAAACAGATGGTTCCATTTCCTGGTTGCATCCATTATACCAATATAATGCTTTTAGCAGAATTTTAACATTTCACTTTTATATTTGTCTAATAGATCAGTAATATTCCCAGCTGTGAATCTGATACAAATTAATAAGAATTCAATTAATATAAGAATTATTTTCATTGCCCCTTGCATATCCATTTGAAGAAAGCTAAAACATATCAGAGCAATCCTGGGCTAGATAGTAGAGCTTTATATTTTCATTTTTCTTTTGCCATATCTTTCCCAGTATTTATGATTTGAACCTAAAAAAATTCTGTATTCTAGTTGATCCTTGAACAACATGGGTTGGGACTACATGAATCCACTTACACATGGATTTTTTTCACTAGTAAATGCTACACTTCTACTCACTCTTCTGTTGGTTCAATCCAAGAATGTGAGATGGTAAATAGTGGGGCCAATTTTAAAATTAACTATGGTTTTCAGTTGTGGTGGTTTGGGGTTATGTGTGGAGCACCCCTAACCCTGAGTTGTTCAAAGGTCAATAGTACTTGTAAATGAAGTGACTTATTTAACTCTAGTCACTAGTCATTCATTTTATGCCATAGAAATGTCACAGAAAGATATGTAACTCTTTTTAAAGTATTAAGACAGCTTTTAAAAATGGAAACCAGGATGAAATAAATTTATTTTTGGAAGTGAGCAGCAGTTCCCTTTTGAATTGTCCCCTAAGCCCACCACTGTGAGATGGGAACGCAGCTGAAAGCCTGAGTCCTGAATCCTAAAGCTGTGAACTTGTTACACGTTTCCATGAATCAAGTGATTGCCAAAGGACCTTGTTGTTGTTTTTTCCTGCACAGGAATGGGCTCAGACTAGATTCTCTCCCAGGTTTTGCAGACAGTGATTCATGTCCAGGGTTTCTTTATATTCCCTTGATGTCTTCATTCCAACCACACAGTCACCCTTTGTTCTCAACATCGTGTGTAAGTGTCAGTGGGTTACCAGCCACAGAGTAGTCACCTCTATGGGGTTATACAAGGATTGTTTGATTTTTAAAATACTTCCTTATATTTCTATGAACATTCCTCTGGTATGTTTGATACTTGCATGAAATGCCATATTGTATATTTTTAAAATTTCCATTATCAATTAATGTGTCCCTGGTTGTCACAGAACCTACAGTGAGTGTTGTCCAAGGAATATTCAGCAATAATGGGCATCGCACCCAGGATCCATATGACCTCCCAAAGAACAGTCACATCCCTTGCCATTATGACCTGTTGCCAGTCCGAGACAGTTCATCGTCCCCCAAGCAAGAGGATGGTGGCAGCAGCAGCAGCAGCAGCAGTGAATGACACCAAAGACCACTGGGTAGCCACTGGACCCCTCCCCAGAACTGCAGTTCGGTTCTTCTCCATCCTCAAGTTTGCCACCCTATGTGAATGTTAATCTACTTCATAGGCAGTTGTTGGACATGAACCAGAAAGCTCAAAGCTGAGGCTAACTGACCATAGGTCCTTCTTATACAGGTGGCTCAGAAGGAGATATCAATGTGATTTCCCATTTTTGTTAGTATTAGATCTGCATCCATGAAGCATGCCTTACTGTAAAGTCTTGGCTAAAAGCATGACCGTGCAGGACTCTTTCAGAGACACGGGTTGCAGCGGATGTTGGTGATGTTGCTTGAAAAATTAAAACTTAAATATTTTCTTTCTCATTTGCATCATAGAGTTATACCTAGGATTGTGCATTTTACCATGAAATTTACTTCATTGAAGTGTCACATGCTCAATACATAGAAGAAAAGAGCCATCTCATTGAGTCCTTATTGTTCAGCTTTTTTCAGCGGGACTCATTATAGTAAGGACAACAGGAACCCAGCAGGAAACATTCTGTCAAGTGACATTACTGGACAGACTCCGAATAAACTCTAGAGGTGCAGAGCAAATTTACATATGAAAACTTTAGACTTTTTTTGTAGGATGAGGAAATGTACATTTAGAATTACTTTAGAAAAGAAATAGAATTACTGCAGCAATGAATACACAGATGTGCCAGACAGAGATGCTTCTCTGTTTCTCGGCCCATTTTAGATCCATGACGTTATTCTGATCACTGTCCCAATCATACACATTCACCACTTGAGATCCATAACATATCAATAATTATTTCATACATACAGAAATGAAATAATTTTATTTTTGACAGATTGGATTGAATGAGTGTCTAATGAATGGAAAAGGTTGTAAATGTTAGGTGTAAGATGATGCTTAAGTTTTGTAAGCCATTAGTAATACATGCTGTAATATAGAATTAGCAGAAAATTTTGATTAATTTTTCCCTAGAAGTGACCGAAATATTTTTGTGCATATTTGAGAAAAGGGCACTTTCCTTTTATTAATTGTTGATTTAGAGAAACTATGCTTAAGCTGGTCTTTTGCATTGCTAATATGACATGTACCCCATTTTTCATTAATTTGTATTTCCATTTTTAAGTTGTATATTCTATGTTTTGTAGTGTTTGGATTGTTAATGAAAAAAAATATTATATGTTTATTGTTTCTTGTGTTATGGCCACTTTTCTTTTTTGCTTCAGAAAAATGCATTTCTCTTGTTTCTTTTGGAGGGAAGAGAAGAAGATATATAAATCGAATCCATTAAAACTGGGCATTACTAAAATAGTATAGTAGCAAGTAAATGGTTTATAATGGACATGGAGAAGCGTTTGAATATTCCAAAATGGAGTTCCTCTTGATCTGTGGGTCCTGAGATTTGGCTAAACCGAAGGGAAGAGGAACCGGGGGGCATTGTCAGTGAGCGAGTACCACAGACCGATCTCACTGAGGACCTTCCTTAGGTGACCATATAATCAGTTATCCAGCTGGGACACTTCTGAAAGTAAACGGAGGCATTATGAGTAATTACCCTGCAGTGGGCTTAAAAGTGCCCTGTAACAGGCAAACCAGAAGAGATGCTCATCTTGTGTGTTCCTAATGTAGTTAACATTTTTCACGCCAAGGGAGTTACCCCAGGAGAATGCCGGTTCCATGCAAGGAAACCAGTTTCTCTTTGACCTACCTGAGCGCCCGGAAGGGCTGAAAGCTGAATGAGGAAGCAATTTTGTAAGAGAAAACAGTGGCCATCCATCTTTTAAAGACAGGAAAACTTACGTGGTGTCCTGTATCAGTGAGTCAATTCACAAATACGTATTGTGCTCCCATTCTGCCAGCAGTACACAGAAGGCGTTGTCCTTGCCAGTGACCGAGTTGGGGTGTCCTGTGCCTGCATGTCACACACCTGCACCTCTGATGTTGGTCTGATCAGGGGGATGAGAGAGCAAATATACTTCTTTGATGGCTGTTTCTTTCAGGGAACTCCAAAGTTAATTCAAGGAAATGGGAATTGCCCGGAACACGCCTTAGAAACAATTGATTTATTTCAACAGTGACCTGCTGGTTGGCCCTTGATTCTAGGGAATAGAGATCTAATTGAGACAATTGGGTTCATAACCACATAAGAGTCCTTTTTGGCTAGAAAAAAGAAGACAGCTTTCCACTTCTAAGATTCATCTCTTCAGAGCTCCATGGTAAGTTGAGAGTCCCCATTACTCCCTGGAGATAAGACACCTTTTTTTTTTTTTTCTCATTCCCCTATTTTTAAAAAAGAAAGCTTCATGTCCCAAGGCAACAGCAATGTAAATAGAAAACCCAGGAAACAGAGGCGGGTCCAGAGAGGCACTGGTGTCCTTCCCTGTGCCATCTTTCTGACAGATCGCCTCCTCAGGATGGCTGGTGTCCTAAAACAACATTTTGACCGGAGGCAATTCTTACATGTAGCATTGTGGATATTGTAAAACTACACACTATATTTGAAGAGATCTAGTTGAAAAGTAAAAAAATTCTAGATACTTTGATAAAGACTTGGGTAAAGATACCTTTGGGTAAAAACACTTTTGTCAGAATGAGAATTGGAGACAAAAGAATCTGACAGTTTTTCCCCTGAAATTACAGTGTTTTAGGCTTTTTCAGATATATCAAATTTGATTTAATGGTAATGTTATGCTTTGTACATAGTGAATCTGTTTTCATGACCTTTGAAATTGAAGTCACTCGGTCGTGCTCGACTCTTTGCAACCCCATGGACCGTAGCCTGTTAGGCTCCTTTGTCCATGGGATTTTCCAGGCAAGAATACTGGAGTGGATTGCCATTTCCTTCTCCAGGGAATCTTCCCAACCCAGGGATCTAACCCAGATCTCCTGCATTGCAGGCAGACTCTTTACCATCTTAGCCACCAGGGAACCCATGTTAATTTGGAACCTTAAAAATGATCTCTTCTCTATATCCTATAGTGGTCAAAGCAGTGAATGAGCTTGGTGACATGTAGCTGACATTCATGTAGAGATGTCAACCAAACTATTATACTTTCTCTAGAGGTTGATGTATCAGAACATTTATAACCTATTTGTATTTCTATATAAGTACATCAAAACTGGCCCAAATGATAGTTTGTATGCTTGCTTTAATACAGAGAAAATTATTTGTAGTTAATTATATGATAAAGAATATTTCATAATTATTTACAATGTTTGATATTAAGTTCTCTCCTATGCTACCGCAGTAATGTTGAAAGGGAGCTTAATGTGTTTTCATTATCTCTGTGGAAAATTACTCACCAAATTCAGGAAAACCAATGTGGAATTTTATAATAAGATAGTTATCAACCCCAAACAAATCCATTAGCACAATGACTACATGTTGCGAGAATTGCAAACAACTTTATGAAAATGTAATCATTTTGACCTCAGAGTCACAATAATAGTTATCAATTATTGTGATTTTAAACTATAAATATTACAAGAGTTGCAAAGAGTATTACAATACCATTTAGGGTTCATGTCAATGTTAGTTCACTTATCTCTTAAAATGAGATGAAATCATTAAAAAAAATTGAGTTTTAAGGTTATGTCTTTTAAATAATAGATTTTCTATGTTTAAGTAACATGTCTTAATTATTCATATTAAGTATTTAAGAGGTGTGTTGGTCTTAAAGGCTTTATGTCATGGACATGTATCTAGATGTGTAAGTGTGAATCACATGGTTTAGATGGGTGTTTGTCTAGTAACTACAGATGTAAGACCAGTTGCTGTTTTAGGGTCCCCTTAATACTGCTGCCTAACACTAGTCTGTCTATTCTAGTTCAGTATTTAGTCTAGGCTTCTTTTTGATATGAACAAATTGCAATATATATTTTTAAAAGGAAATAATTAAAACATATTAGGATGTATGTGATTGTAGCAAACAAAAAATGCTTTCAGTGTTAAAATATCTCTTTTCCCAAAGATGATTAAACTTTCATCAGTATTAGCCAACATTCTTATTTATATGACCAAATGAGTTTGTAGATTAATGTAATAAACTTTCTAATAAAAACTTTAAAGTAGTGTTTATTTCTGTTTGATTCTATTGTTAATTAAAGAGGAGAAAAAACTTATGATGCTACTGGAAAAAAAATTTAATATTTTTTCATATGTGATCCCTTAGCCCTATATATATATATATTTTTTAAAAACTATATTTTATTATATTTAATTGCTTATATACCTGCTTTTTCTCCAAATCATTTGTTCCTTAAAGACAGAGGCAACATTTTTGTTCATAGTTGTATCCCTGGAACCCAGGTTAGTGCCTGAGAGTCAGGTCTCTGTAAAAAACTTCAGGCTATCTTGTGTGGATTTGCTTTTTAAATCTCAGTAACCTGTTAATGCTTCATTTTGTAACTTAAAATTTTCTGGAGGTCTCACTTTATAGCTGGAGAAGGAAATGGCAACCCACTCCAGTATTCTTGCCTGGAGAATCCTGTGGACAGAGGAGCCTGGTGGGCTGCTGTCCATGGGGTCACACAGAGTTGGACACGACTGAAGCGACTTAACATGCATGCATACATTGGAGAAGGAAATGGCAGCCCACTCCAGTATTCTTGCCTGGAGAATCCGAGGGACAGGGGAGCCTGGAGGGCTGCCGTCTATGGGGTCGCACAGAGTCAGACATGACAAGCACCTTAGCAGCAGCAGCAGCCCTTTATAGCCCTGTGTTCTAGGGCTCAGATATGAGTAAAGCATTGCTGCTTCTCTCAAGCACTGTTTATTTACTGAGGGCTTGAGTGCCAAGAGCAGTTGGGGCTGCAGAGATATAGAAGACATGTGCTCAAGTAGCTCATTATTTCACAAAAGGGATAAAGCATCTACTTTAGCTGCATGACTTTGGTAAGTTACTTAATTTCTCAGGACCTTGGTTTTTATGTTATAATATGTTGGAAATAATAGTACCTATTACAAAGAGTTTTGTGAGAATTTAATAACTTTAATTATACCTACAAAACACTTAACTTTAGTGCCTGATACATAGTAGATAGTTGGGAAATGTTAGCTATCATAACTATTATGAAAAATTATCTAAGGATTGGAGCCAGTTTGCAATAACCAGGTAAGTGACGAAGCTAGTAAATCAGAAGTGAGCATTTAATGAATATTATAAAAAGTACGTGTTTGTGTGAATATATCCTGATCTATTTTTTTACTACAAAAATATGCCATGCATATTTAGTTTCTAGAGATATAATTTAGAAAACCCATAATAATACAACTTCACCTTCCAGTGATATGTTATCTTCCTAGGATTTGAGAGTGATTTTTAAACTTTTGGTTGTGGGTTTGTGGGCAGATAGTGACCTGACATCACATTCCCATCCTGGAGAATACAGCCATCCAAAAAATCAAAGGCTGACCTTGGTAACCTGAAGAGGTTCCACACACAGTGAGACATCAAGTCCTTGAAAGAAGGTGCAGATGGAAGGACAGAGCTGATGGGGTTGCACTGTGCGGAAGGGAGTGTGGGGAGACCTGCTGAACTGTATGACTGCACGCATGCTAAGTCGTTTCAGTCATGTCTGACTCTCTATGATCCTATGGACTGTAGCCTGCCAGGCTCTTCTGTCCATGGAGCTCTGAAGGCAAGGATACAGAATGGGTTGCCATTCCCTTCTCTAGGGGATCTTCCCAACCCAGGGATTGAACCTGAATCTCTTGCATTGACAGGCAGATTCTTTACTGCTGAACTACGAGGGAAGCAAGGCATATAATTATAGGACCAGAGTGAGTTTCCTAGAACTGAAGATAAGGATTTCTCAATTTGAGAATTTAATCAGTTCAGTCATTCAGTCATGTCCGTCTCTTTGCAACCCCATGGACTGCAGCATGCCAGGCTTCCCTGTCCATCACCAACTCCCTGAGCTTGCTCAAACTCATGTCCATAGAGTCAGTGATGCCATCCAACTATCTCATTCTCTGTCATCCCCTTCTCTTCCTGCCTTCAGTCTTTCCCAGCATCAGGGTCTTTTTCCAGTGAGTCAGTTCTTTGCAACAGGTGGCCAAAGTATTGGAGTTTCAGCCTCAGCATCAGTCAGTCCTTCCAATGAATATTCAGGACTGATTTCCTTTAGGATGGACTGGTTCAAACTCCTTGCAATCCAAGGGACTCTCTCAATAGTCTTCTCCAACACCACAGTTCAAAA